ATGCCTATATAAGTCGTCACAACAGCCTATAACGTCTATATACAGTCGTCACAAGAGTCTATGACGTCTAACTAAGGTCATCAGAGCAGCCTATGACGTCTACATACGGCCGTCATAACAATCTATGACGTCTATATAAGATCGTCACAACAGCCTATAATGTTGTTACAACAGTCGTATATTGCTATGCTAAAAGTAGTTTTAAAAATATCACACTGGTGACTTTGTAAATGTGCACACGGACGTATCTTGTTTTGAGAAAAAATTTTAGCTGTAAATTTGAAAGAGTAACGTTCTCGCCTTCATTTAAAGACAAAAAGTAAATACGTGGTATGTGATAAACTATTAGAATAATTATGTTTGACGTTTTTGTTGAAGAGAAACATTATACTGATAAACCGAATTCTACACGTTCTATTTTAGACTAAAATTTTATGATAAGAAATACTTTCGGCAGTTTTTGCGCAATAAGAAGCTATCAGTATCCAAAACATGTATCTTAAATAGTATAGGTGAAATAAAACGTCAATTATTGGAAGGTCCTGGCTATAACGAAATGTAATATCCTCCTCAGTCCGGATAATATCTTTGGTAGAATGAGTATTTCGTGCAAAGCTACACAAGGTCTATCTACTTATAGCCATAATTAATTTTGAGCTAATAAACTAGAGAGAATGCAGCTAGTCAACAGCACATATTGCCAGTTCTTGGGCTACTCTAATCGAATAGCGGGATTTGTCTGTTACTCTTATAATGCGCTCATAATCCCTAATTGGATATGAACTATGGACCTTCAGATTCACAGCCTGGCTTGTCAATCAGAAGCCATGCCCAGCCCGAAATGCCTTTGGAGATCAGCAATAGTTACACAAAACCATACGCTACCAAGATTCAAATTAATGTAATAAGCAAGGCATTATTCTCATAAACAAGACAAAACTGAAATCGAACTTGGGAGCTGTCTAATTTGAATCGCGGAGGGTTCTCTAAGAGAAGGGTTACGAAGAAGTAAGTATTATTAATTATCCCATAAACAGATACCCATCATTAACTTGTGATCAAATCAAGCTACTTATATAGATAAGAACTAATAATTAATCCACTAATTAAGAAGCCTAAATTATTAAACCGTTATAAAGAAGTATATGCAAAGTATAAACAACAACAAAAAAAAAAACTTTCAAAATACAATGATTAGAATGCATTAATCCAGCGGTTGGGTACATTAACTGTACAGTGTTTTTGGCCGTAATTTTAATTCATTGTTTTAGTATTTATTAAACCATATTTTTTTTATAAATTATCAGAATTTTCATTAACAATTAATGCTGAATCATCTGCAAAGCTAGTTATTTCCTCATTGATCTTAATTACACAGAAATCATTTAAATAAAATAATAATAATGGAGCCAAAACTGATCCCCGGGGTGCTGCAGAAGTAATTTCTACTTTATTGCATATGTTTCTGTTAATTCTGAGTTAATTTATTAATCACCTTATGTAATGCATCCTCTGTATCAATATTTCCTATACCCGAATTAAGAATTTGATTTGTTTGTTTGAAGTTAAGCATAAAGTTATACAATGGGCTACCTGTGCACTGCCCACCACGGGTATCGAAACCTGGTTTCTAGCGTTGTAAATCCGCAGACATACCGCTGTGCCACTGGGGGACAACTAATAGTACCATAATCACCTGGTATTCCCAGATGGTCACCCTTCCAACTAGTAACCAAGCCCGACATTGGGTGTCTACGGGGATCAGACGAGACGCGGGAGAATCTGAGAGAAAACTTACTGGACCCGTACTTGGAAGGTTGATATTTGTGTCTTGGGCAAGACATCCAACCTCAATTGTTTCAGTCTACACAGTTGTATAGCTGGTAGCTAGAGGTTAGCCAGCGATGTACTGACATATCGTACAGGGAGACTGTATCATTCATACTCACCGAAATATGACACTGAACCAGTTCAGCACCGGTTCCTGTGTGCCTTATAAGTAAGGGATGGATTCGAATTTGACGCCACCAAAGATAACGTCATTCAAATATAATAATTATAACCTGAAATAATCTTATTAATGTTACATTTATGTCATTCATTGTCCTTTATTAATACTGTTATAACACAAGCAACGAATTATTGATCTAATATTATGTGTACTTCACTGTATTAAGTAAGGTACTAAGTAGAAGTGCATATTATGTAACTTCAACTTTTGATTAGAAATGAAGTGATAATTGCTTTTTATAAGATTCTATGGATTAATCCAATAATGGATCTTAGCATCCCGCGAAAAATAAAAATAAAGTAACATCCATAAAATAGTAGCAGTAAAAAGGTGGATGGAACTTTTATACTGCTCGTGCCATCTTGGAATGATTTAAATTTAAATTAGATAGTGAATATACTATTGCGAAAGATACATACATAAGTAGACTAGGCTATGTTTAAACGTTTGTGAAACTTTGTTTATCGGCATACAGTTCTTGAGCTATGTCATATTTTAACTGAAAATGTACAACTTGTACAATCACTTTTATTTATCTTTTGGAAACCTGAATAGAAAACATTTTTTTTATTGTTAAAATAAAGATTTCAATTATATTTTGAATACCAAACTGTCTCAGTAGAGTATTGTGTTTTCTGTCGTCATCTTAATATAAGTTGCACAACAAAAAGGTTTCATTTCTTTATTGTTAATGAATTATCTCTAACTCCATAACTATACAATCCCCTGTAGAACGTCGTGACTGGTGTGATGTTAACAGGGACAAATTTTGTTAAGTTTAAGCCCTCGTAAGATTGATATAAACTATGATAACGACTCGTTTATCCAGGTTTGTTTAACTGCCTACTAAGTAACACAATGGAATTTCCATAAGCCTCATCCCTATCTCCTAAGCATATTTAGAAATGTGAGGTCCCTTACGTCATAACATCTAATTGCGCCCCTTAACAATAACCACATACATCTAAGCATGTTGATCGAGTTGAAGGGTATAATTTAAGGTTTAAAGTTATTCAAGTGTCATATATTAAATCGTATAAGAATTAGAATTTTTTAATGATTTCATAATTCAATAAAATGTTCATTATTTGAACAGTTTTCTATACACTTTCCCCCTATGAACATTTCAATGAGTGTATTTTATCAAAGGTATGATGGAAATAATGAGATTATTTGCACTTTATAAGAAATACTAGCGTAAAAACCCGTCAAAAATGACGGGAAACCACTGGAAACCCAAACTATTCCGTATAAAACTGGCAATATATAAAAGAAATATAAAATTTCCATTCCCAGAAACATGTTACATATTGATCCTGAATCTACTACATATGACTGAGCAAACATGTTACATATTGGTGCCTTTGGATAAAGGATTAAAACATATTATGACCATATGATTGCATACACACCTGTTCTTCTTCTGAGGAAAAGTCGTCCTCTTCCCTACTGATAATTGGTATCTTCAGTCTGTTTTAACAACGAATTTTTCGTAATCATTCCCAAGCACAGACTTATTTTTCACAGGCGTTGAGAGAGTGGGAAGGCACTTCCGTATCTTCGATCACGGGAATCTTCCCGGCTTTCTTATTCGGATCCTACCTAGTTTGACGTCATAATGATGTGGTATCACACACATAATGCCATGCCTGATCTGGTCCTTGAAACTCCTTCCTTGACAGACTTTTATATAGCAGAAAAAATGCTGAAATTTAGGAGCTACTTACGCCTATATTCGCGATTAAATTCAACTAAAATGCTGCCCATCACCGCAATTTACTTTTTAATATGCTTCTACAGAGGATAGAGAGATCAATTCTAAACAACACATCTTGATAAGCACTCCTTCAGCCGTTCCCTGTGTTTCCAAGACCATATTTAACCAGATAAAACACACAAAGGTCCATTGGATCTGCATCAAGGAACTTGGAAGGTATGTGGTTGCTGTGATTCCAGTTTCTTTGGCCATCTTTTTCAAGAAAACCGCCATGGATTTCGAGGTAAGACAAAGAGCTTGTGAACTTTTGGCTTGTAAGTCTTCGTGAACTTCAAAGCTTTGTTTACCATTTTGTTAGTTTACTTAAATTCATTGCAATGTTTTTTTTTCTCTTTCAAACCACAGCTTTCAGTCTTCCGATTAGGGCGTTGTTGCAGAATGGCTTGGAATATGGTTTTGGAGTCCATTTCTGTCTTAGAAATTCTGACGTACGAATGTTTTTGCTTCCATAGAGAATATTGAAGGTTCACTTTTTCGAAAAGTTATGACCTTGAGTTCTGAATTGTTTTACAACCTTGCTTTGTGAATTTTTCTCTTCGTAAAGGCTTTTTTTATGTAACACTCCATCCAAAGAGACCCTCCAAAACGGCATTGCACAGTCGAATGAATGGTCGGGAATTTGCCGTGAACCAAATATATGCAGCGATATGTCATTGTATTATAATAAACAATCATTCAAATAATATGCGATTAACCATTTAGCTGTAAAAAGTGAATTTTTTATAACTTTATTTTGTATTTTCACTGTTTCACTCGAATGCTAGAAAACATGAAAATTGAAAACATTAACTTCCATCAGTTTTTGAGATTAAAACGTATTGTTTCGCTAAGAGTCTATATTATTTTAGGCTTGCGTGTTTCGAGACTGCCCTCCAGTGGCACAGCGGTATGTCTGCGGTCTTAGAATTTGAGTAAAAGTTTGTTTTGGGGGATCTTAGCACTTCTAAATGAACAACATTTTAGTCCTCATTAGTTTTCTGAAATTCATTGAGCCAGTTAGCCATGAACACAAGCCATAAGACACACTTTTCTTCATTTAGGTAACTATTTTTCTGAGTTATTTCATATATATTCTAATAAACAGTGAAAATGTTATAAAATATAAAATACAAAATAGAATATGAGCTCCAATAATTTAAAACAACAACTTCTACTGTGTCCCATTCATACTTACTAGGGCTTAATAAGAAATGTTACAGAACACAAGCTTACCATCAACATCCAGCCTAGCGGTTTCAGAATACTGAACGCCCTTGTCATTTCTAGCGATGCAATGATAGTCACCTTCGTCCGCTTCTCCTACATTTTCCAGCATGAGGGCGCCACTGTCGAGGACCTGAAAGGTAGCATGGCCATGATGGTGAATGCTTCTTCCATCTCGTTGCCAGGAGACACTCGGTTGTGGATCTCCACTTGTAAGGCAGGAGAAAATTACTGTTTCCCCAATTACAACTGTCTTATTGCTTGGTCCTTTTTCAACGAATGGTTCTAAAGCGTAAATTGTATAAAGTTAAAATAATGGTACGTATATTAACAACAATGAATTATTTTAATTTATTTTTCAGTAAATAACACACGAAATGTTATTTTTTTACTTGCTACGCCTTTGTTTAATGAGAGGCTCTCAAATGCAATAAACGTAATAAAAGTAAATCAGTAAACAACTTAAGAATTTCTCTTTCCTTGAGCATGATCGTCCAATACAAACATCTAAAGATTAGTTTACAAGAACACTGTGCAGCTGGATAACAAGAGTTACGGTAAATATTGGTGTACGCCAAGTTATGGATCACATTCTAGTTAAACTATTTACTGTATATTTTTTTTTATCGATTCTTATGTTTTTATGCTTGTTGCCTTGAGAAATCCAATCGATTAAGTTTCTTTTCTTGACTTTCTATTAATCTTCATTCATTATTACGCCATTACGAAATGAACTAAAAAATCCAAGAAAATTGTAATACTTCGGATCTTTTTTCCTCTTAATGAGTGAATGCATTTATATTTTCTAAACCATTTTACGCATTTTTGTACTTCTGATATACTAATAAGCAAAATAATCTCTCTCTCTCTCTCTCTATATATATATATATATATATAGTACTTTATTCTTTAATTATACATACATTTAAACAGCGATTTAAAGTTTTACTTCAGGAATAAGAAAACATTAGTCACCCGGTGGGACAGCGGCAAGTCTTCGGATTTACAAAGCTAAAATCAGAGGTTCGATTCCCCTCGGTGGACACAGTAGATAGCCCGATGTGGTTTTGCTATACGAATAAAAGAGATAGCAAAATCCGGATCTTTCCAGAAAAGTATTTAGAAAAATCAGATCCAATTCTTACACTTACTGCCATACCCTGATCTGGAATATAACTTATATCTTGTTCTTACTTTCCTTTGCTGTCCAGAGTATAGTCACTGATTTTGTTCTCATTTAAAGTCTCTCTTCTCGGTATTCAGTTACAAAACATATTCAGAAAAACGCAGTCTCACATATACTGCTATTACGTTGCAATAAACGTTTCTGTTGTTTTAGCGCAGAGCTATATAATGAGCTATCTGCACTCTGTCCACCGCGGGGAATCGAATCCCGGATTTTAACATTGTAATCCTTAAGACGTATACAAGTTTTATTATATAATTTCGCGAAAACGCCAGCAGGAATTAATTTTTTTTTGTCTTTAACACTCAGAACCAATATTTCAGGTATATCCAGAAATGAGATTAAAAGTAACGTATTTAATTTCTACTTAAATAAATGTATTTTATTTAAAGAGGACGACCGAAATATACAAGGACAAACAGAAATATCTGAACATTTTTACAAACCTGATATTTTAGATGTCATTTTATTGAGTAATATCGTTGGCACACAAATAACTATAAGGCAGTTTTAAGTATAGCCTTCGTGATATGTATATTTGTCAACATTTAACATGAGTTCAGGACTTGGAGTATTTCACTATAAATATACTTAAAGCTACAGTTCATAATTATGTAGATTCTATAGTTTATATATATAGAGAGAGCTTGTTGTATTGGTTAGACATTTCTTTTCACAATGGAGAAGCCTTTTAGCTTCCTCATCGGAAATTAGTACCTAGTGAAAACAGTTGACGTACATGACATAAAATGTTTTTCTTTTACACAAATATAGTTCGTTTCAGTGTTACAGATGTCAGAACACAATATTCGTGAGTATCTCGTTGTATATTTCCCATCATAATCTTGTGTAATTTTAAGAGTATTTATGCTGTGTGTGTGTAGTTCGCTGAATTTCTACAAGACTATATCTAATGTTCTTCGCCAGATAGCGAGTTTCATTATTGTTCTATAATTCCACATATAAATTCACTATTTCAATGTAAACATGTTTCGTTGTTGTTGTTTTTTCGTGGAGTTTTAATGTTCTTCGCCATATAGCGGGTTTCATTATTGTTCTATAATTCCACATATAAATTCACTATTTCAGTGTAAACATGTTTCGTTGTTGTTGTTTTTTCGTGGAGTTGTAATGTTTTTCAGCAATTAGCGGGTTTCAATATTGTTCCATAATTACACAGATAAATTCGGTATTTCAATATAAATATGTTTCGTTGTTGTTGTTTTTTCGGGGAGTTATTTATGCTAGGATCGAGTTTTGACGAGTGTTTCGTTTCCAAATTCAATATATTCACTTTCTGTTATACACTTTGAATCTTAAAGTCTGAACCAACTTCTTATCTGTATTATTATCGTACAGGACACGTTTTCATCTATAGACTTAATAATACGGTATTGTTGTGTTGTCAGCATTACAAAGAAAAAAGTCGAACAAAACGCAATTTAATGATCTGACAGGAATTTCCAAAATTCTGAAAAACACCGTCCTGAATGTATACATCGGTCTATAAAGTAGATGCTGGGAAAATCCCTGCATTAAAAACTATTAATGCACGTTGTTTTTCGCTCTTTAAATATACTTATGGTGAGATAGATTGGTGTAAACGGGACCTTTATAAACAAGTCAAATTTACTGTTCATATGTCGGACTAAATGATATATTTAAACAATACAAGATACTTCCGCTCGGCGCAGTCTGACACACCACATTTATCACAGAAAATCTCGCTTCACTAGAACAATGATCATCATTTTAATTAGTTATTTATTATTTAGCAGCAGCCTTAGTTTATCCTGTATTTTACCCATATGTTGAATTACAGATGAGATTTACAGGAATGCTCGGAACGTAAAGAATTGTAAAATAAATCATGTTTGCATAGTAAAACCTAGCATTCCTTAATATGATTAAGCCAAAATCCACGAGTATATAAAAAGCTATTTGAAACTTAACTAGCTGTTAGACTGCTATTCGAAACATTGGCAAGATTTTCTAGCAAAGTACCCTACCCCCCTTAGCTCCTCCTGACAGGTTTATTACAATTACTAGGCAGCGGATTATTTAGGACTGACATTCTGTTTTTGTATACTCACTCTGCTGAAGCTATTTCCTGTAACCCTCAATTTTCACTCTTTTCCTTCTAGAAACGTATACCGATAGAATTGTTTTGTAGGCTAGATTAAGTTACCAAAAACGTTTAACTTTCCACTATATACAACAGAATTCCACAAAAGTCAACAATCTTGCTAATATGATTTCCGGACATCTTCTACATTAAGCACCAGCTGTATCACTGACAATTGTTTTCTCGAGGCGAGTAACTGCTACGTATATATTATTCAGGTATCAAATGGATCACATTACATGCACTGTGTTTCGTTTATCTTCTGTCTGTGACTAGCTATTTCACAGACACTAATGGCATATATTAATAATGATACACGTCATTATTCGTTTTTCAAGTATTTGTATGCGTTGCTCTAGAAAACAAAATGTGAATGTATGTGTCTATTTTCACGTTATAACAAGTTTCTCAAGGGAGATAAAGAAATTCAAATATATATATATATATATTACTTGACACTTATTGGCCAATAGAGAATACAATGATAAACTGTTCCTGTTCTTTGGCTAGTAGATTGACATGTATCTAACCCTAAATATAATTACCCAAACTTTTCATCCGCTTTACCAAATAAAAGCTAATATGAGTTTTTAACCCCAAACATAATAATGGTGTCCTGTTTTAATTAGTGGGAACCAAGACAAGCTCTTAACCTACTTTTTGTTCCTCCAATTTACCAAATTAGGACCAAGATAAATTCTTACGCCCAAATATCCGGCACTATAAATTATTCCCACTCCCATGGGAGGAGGTATGGGTGGGCAAGAGAAAATGGGCTATAACTCTGTATGTAGTAAGCCAGAACAGTGGTTACATAATCTTAAAACTCGTGGTGAAGAACCTGCCACTTTACTAGAGCGCTCGAGCTGTTTTTCTTTAACTCTTTTCGTGAAAAAAATGTTAATATTCACTAAGATTACATTTAGAAATATGAATAGCGGGCAGGGGAATTCTATGGTCAGGATTATGGATGAAAACAAAAATCAAGAAATTTTTCTTAAAAAGTTATATCTCAAAAGGTATTTTACAGCTATCGATAACGTTAACCTAGAAATTATAAACTTTATAGAAATGATTACTGTTGTATCAGTCAAGGGTCGTGACAAACATTATATAGAACAAAGATATTTTAAGAATATAAATTATTTATTCAGTATTTGAGTTCATTTCTCAACAGCCATATATTAAATATGTTGAACATTGAGGACACGTGAACCAATAGAATAAAACTATACGCGAAGCTCTGCAAGCGTTTAAAAATGTCGTACTATTTAACCGTACTTTTGTATAAATAATGTTATTCTTTTCATGTAAGTATTGTAGTTTTTATGTCTGGTTATTATATTTATCAGAAGTAATAGTGTGTTAGTTTATATATATAATTAATGTAGTTTAAATGCACTTTTGGTTCCTGTAGTATTTCATAATGAGCCATACGATTACATATGTTTTTTAAAGAACTTTACATTCGATTTTTCTATATTTCATAATTATCTTTCTCATAATTATATAACTTCGGATGGTGATGTATGAATCAGTTAGAAACAGGAAACGACAGGTGGTTAGATAACTTAGACGTGAATCAGAGATTTTAGTACTGTATTTTATTTAAGATTGGTTTAAACGTTTATGCGACGCCAACTTAAAACGAACTGAGAGAACAGCTGTTCGTTACTTTTAGCCTAATTGTAGCCCTTCTTCTCATCAAGAACTGCACTGCAGTAAACGTTATCTTTAATAAACGGTACGCTATTTGTTCTGAGTTTTATCACTTATTCCCTCTTGAAGTTTCTAAAAATACTTGAAAGTCACATTAAGTTCACTTTTTATAACAAAATGTTTAAACCCATCGCATTGTGTCATTAATTTTTATTTTAAGAGACTAAGCCTTTGTACTAACGACAAAGTCACAAATCCACGGAACAATAAAGATCACATGTGCAAGCACAATCACGTAAATTTAAAGTTATGTGT